CGATGCCATCGTCATAATGACGTCAAAATGAGTAATAAACTGGTTCGCATGTAACATAAAGTGCATACTTGAAGAGCATATGCGGAGGAATGTCCATCTTGGACACATTTTTTGTTATCTCTAATATTGTATGATATTATGATTATCTTTATAGTACTGTCTTATTTGGGCTGAAGATGGATTTTTAAAAATCCGAAACGGGTCGCCATCATTAAAACAGTTTTTTTGCGTTCCTTCTTTCCTTTTAATGATTATTATACAACAGATTATGACAAGGAATGATAATTCTCAACTAAAAATATTCCGAGGCATAAATACAGATTGCAGCATTTTTTCTAATGGCATAAGAAGTTTGAATAGGTATCTGATTTCGTGCCAGTTTTGCAGTTATTGAAATGAATTCGGGCAGAAGAGGTTCAAAGTAAATACCAACTATGAAAGCCGCCTGTATTTTGAAGACTATCAATTTTTTGACTGAGATAGCTAAATTGGGCTAGATCCTCGTTTTTTGCCCCGACATTCTGTGTTAGCGTCTTGTATAGATCATTCAGAGTCATCCTAAAAAATATCTGTAGGTTAATCGAGAAGGTATAGTACAATCATTATTCCAGATTTTTTGTTTTTTTTTCACCTCGTTTCTATAAAATCAAATTATGAATATTATTCCAAAATACGTCTAGATGACAACCATAAGAGAAAAATCAAGGAATCTGCTTGCATTCTTCTGAACGGATATAATAGCATTGCTTCCTGTTCAGTTGATATAGATAGAACATGGTATTCACTACTGAAATCTGGAAATGAGAATGGTAAATTCAAGATTTTTCAATGAAAACATCCTGTAACTCATTTGATTGCCAACGTCACCAATTGTCACTGAGAACTGAATAGTGTCAAGACAAATACGAATTTGCTATTCAAATTTCCATTTTTTATATTGGAAACGGGAGCAGATTCGTTCTCGAAACGTCCAGAGCTTAGTGAAAATTTGATATTTTTTTGATATACCTCCATTTCTCGCTTCTCCAAACCTTTTTTAATACAAATTGTCACTGGCAAGCTAGTGAATTTTTCATTTAGGCTCTCTGATAGGAAAATTCTCTAAACGCAGTGACATTTTGGGACAAATCATCTGATTTTTCCTCACTGCAGGTATATTGAGATAATATTCATAGTTTCATTTTATAGATACGAGGAGAGAAAATCCCAAAAAATCTGGAATAATGCATCCTAATTGATCTTTATAGAAAATTCAATCCTAGAAATCTGAACCACGACCCTGTTGATGTTACAGCTCAATTGTAATGAAGTACACATACGATAGAAAGAAAAGTACAAAAAAACATCGCATGTCTTTTATAGTATTCAGACAGAAAGTAGGTTGACAGACATAAATATACGTAACATTATTCGCCACACAGGGGCGTCCGGTGGGGAAGGCAAGGGGGGGCGCCCCCCCCCTACCGCCTTGTCTTTACTCATCAGATACTTTCTAAACAAGCTACATTTGCATTATTCAATTCCTATTCTGATTAGCGCTTATTATAGTGACTTTCTGAGACTTTGTTCAATTAATATTCATCGACATTTTATAGATATATAAAGAGTTAATTTTATCGACGAAGTTATTGATAAATTTGCTCAAGACTCTATGAGAATGCCATTTTTATTTGAACAAGATTATGATTATCATCACGTGCAATTTTCTATTGTAATTTTGGCTGTAAACAGAATACCTATGTGATGTCAATTCAATTAATAATTCTTTCTTTTTATTTCATGTTTTATGTAGAATAATAGTAGATTATATATCACAAAATGAAGTTTGATTATCATGACTACCGATAAAGAAGAGTAGCCATATTGCTTTTTGTGAAGATCGAAATAGTGTGGTAGCATATTTTCTCAATTGATTTCCAAAATTTGTTCAAATAATGTTGCAGGAATTTGTGGAAAAACTATTGAAGAAGCTGCTGCAAACGTAGTGGTAGATTTATTGCCATACAATTTTTTTTGCCTAGAGAGTGCCTACTCTGTATACCCTGTATTCCCGCTTTTGTTGGTGTAAAATCGCTTATAGGTCGTGCAAAAGCAATTCTTTCATATGTTCTGAATAATGTGAATTATTTATCCTGACTTGCCCCTCCCTGAGATTATTTCTGCGGACGTCCCTGTCGCCACATTCGCCATATGCAGTGATATCTGTCAGGAAATACCATTCCTACAAACAAGACACAACATTACGTATTGTTTTGCAACTCAAATATCGAATTGCCACTAGATAATTGGCCTATTACGAAATTTTCTTTGCATGCTTTGAAATACCTACTTAGAAGACAGTGTGTGTGTCATCCGACCAAGAACAGATCCTTCATTCATGAATGTGAGAATTGGAGAAAATTTCTCGAGGTTACTAATTAATACATGACAAATTAAAGAATTTGGATTGATTGTTACCTTGTTCGAAATTTCAGAATATCGTCCTTTACAGGGTGATTCAAAATTCGATGTGAATATTTTAAGGCCATATAGGGTGTTTCAAAACAACCTGACCCCCTTGCTAGGGTAGGTAGAACATTGCAAAATAAGTTGGGTTTGCTCAGTGGAAAAATGTCGTAACGCCATCCGTTTTCAAGATACAAGGTGTTGAAACAATATTTTTTTTACACAATTCTTACGATTATGTAGAAACTACTGGCAACATTGTGATGAAATTTAGTATGAATGTTTCTTGGAATCTGACACATCGCATGCATTTGTTTTTATATCTGACTCTCATAGAGAGCGCTAGTTACACGGTTCGTACCGAGTAGTTTTGAACATAACTTTTTCGAGGTTAGATTTTTCAATCCAAATTTGATGTGAACTTGAACATCATTCAATTTCACACCAAAAAGGTACTCTTGGTAAAACTCGATACTGTGTTCCGTTTTCGGAATATTTCGATTTGAAAATGATGAAGTGGTAACTGTTGCTGGTATAAACCTATGTATTAGAGTGAGTATTATCAAAAATTATCACCTATTTATTGAAAACCGAAACAACATTACATTTCTAATGCAGAACTCTTTGATTTAACAATGAATCACAAGAATAACATCGAAACAGATTTGACTAAGAACATGGATTACACAGTTTTGTTGTATCTTTAGCAGAAAGTCTATGCTACATAGGTAAATTCACCTCAAGAGTTGTGAGCTGATCCTCAACTATTCAGAAGAATAATACATTCTTAAAAAAAGAATATAGAATCGTGTATTCCGCTAAACGTAGGACATTTTGAACACTTACTCTAACTGATTCAATATTTCATGTTTTTAGTCAAATATCTCTTAATTTTCAACTCATGATTCTTTGTTCCATCAATAACTTCAGCACAAAAATAATTTTATTGTTTTTGAACCTGAATAAATAGGTAATTGAACTCAAGAAAATTCATTTTATACCAGCATCATGACTACTCCATTAATTTCAAATCGAAATATTCCGAAAACGGAACAAAGTATCGAGTTTCACCAGGAGTACCTTTTTGGTGTAAAATTGAATGATGTTCAAGTTCATATCATATTCGGATTGAAAAATCTAACCTCAAAAAAGTTATGTTCAAAACTACTCGGTACGAACCGTGTAACTAGCGCCCTCTATGAGAGTCAGATATATAAACAAATTCATGTGATGTGTCAGATTTTGAGAAACATCCGCACAAAATTTCATTACAATGTTGAAAGTAGTTCCAGGATAATCGTGAAAAATGTATCAAAAAATAATTTTTTCAACACCTTGTATCATGAAAACGGATGCAAGGGGGTTAGGTTTTTTTGAAACACCCTGTATAGTTGGGATCCAAATAAGAATTTTTCTTCATACAAACATATATGTCTCCTAAAGAGCACACACAAGAGTGTGGACCCCCCTTCCACCCCCCCCCCCCAAAACTGGGTTGACATAATTTTTCAATTCAAAAAGAGTGCCCAAAGAAACACATGTGTCTATGGAGAAAAAGCCTCATTCTGATCCCAACAATAGGTCCTTGAAATATTTACATCGAAGTTTGAATTTTAGAAATCATTTCACACTCATTAGTAATCTATTATTGATTTTTCACACATTTTCTTCGAATATTCCACCTTAGACGATTTTTCGATCATTAGCTATCAAAAGCAGCATTCTCATCCTTGTTGTCGAATTTGAAATAAGTTGAAATGATGGGTTATTCATATATCATATTATATTTCCTTGGTATGTATGTATATACCAACTAGCCATCGATCCAACGAAAGGTCCTTCAGCCGATGCTTATTCTGTGTAGGCTTTGTTACTGACTCCATACTCCACCTTGGGAGAAGCACTATTAATTTTGACGCAACAGTGAATCGTGCAGTACTATTCACTTCTCTAACTATCCACAACTACATAAATTATTCTCTAGAAACAACAGTTCAAAGATTTTCAGAATAAAATTTCATGATGACTTCAGTACAAACTTTGTTTGCAGAAATATTATATTCTGAGGTAGGCTCTGCTCTGATTTTTGATGATATTTTAGTTGAACAATACATGATTTGCATTATTGAAGTAAAAATATCATTTAGATTGAAAATCGCTTCTGAACAACATCAACAAATTATTTTTTTCAAAGAGTCGTGAAAGATGGGTCCAATTTCATAATTATTTTCTCATCGGAGATTCCGAAACCTTGTTCGCTCGAGGTTTTTATTTTCTGGCTAGAAACGAAATATTGGATATTGAAATCCCAAATTTTTCAGTATTTTGGAAAATGAAGAATGTACAAATTTTCAATTTGAAATTGGATTCAATGTACTAGAAATAACCTTCGAATTTCAAAAATGAAGATCTTGAATTTTTGAACTCGCAAAAAGTGATTTGTAACTTTAATGTTGGAAATGTTCGTAAATATTTTCCAAACTGAGGAAATCTACTTGAAGTTTGACCTCTAGCCTATATAAAAACGTGAAATACCATCGAAATCAAACGATCAATAATTATAAAAAATATAACAGAATTTATTGAGAACAGATAACATGGGAAAAATATAAATAGTTTACAAGAGATATGTTAGCTATCAAAGAACACACACAGTGTGAAGGAAAACTCGCTCATTTATGGCCATAATCGGAACCACTGTCATATCCGCCGTCGTATCCACCATGTTCCCCTTCATATCCACCCCCATATCCACCCCCATATCCACCCCCATATCCACCCCCATATCCACCATCATAACCACCATCATGCCCGTGTACAGGTACCGCCACTGGTACCTTAACCGGGTAAGGTACTGGCCTTTCCACAGTCACAGGTACTGGCTTCACCACTGGATAGGGCACTGGTCTGTCAACGGCCACTTTGACCGGGTAAGGTACTGGTCTTTCAACAGGGTAAGGTACTGCCTTTTCTACCGGGTAAGGAGCCGGGTAAGGCACCTTGACAGGCACAGGTACTGCTTTCTCCACCGGGTAAGGCACTGGCCTATCCACGGCTACTTTAACTGGGTAAGGTACTGGTCTGTCGACCGGGTAAGGTACTTTCTTGACGACATGCACTGGGTACGGCTGGGGTACGTGAACAGGGTAAGGCCTGTCTACGGGTACCTTTACTGGGTAAGGCACTTGCTTGTACACTGGGTAAGGCTGGGGGATATGAACTGGTACTTTAACGGGGACAGGTACTCGTTTTTCTACGGGGTAGGGTTGTGGGACTGGTACTTTGACAGGGTAAGGGATGTGCTTTTCGACCGGGTAAGGCTGGGGTACTAGAACCTTGACTGGGTAAGGTCTGTCGACATGTACTTTGACGGGTACGTGGACTATTTTCTCGACTGGGTAGGGTTGGGGTACTGGGTATGGTACCTTGACTGGTACTCTCACTGGGTAGTGCACTGGTTTCTCGACTGGGTAAGGCTGGGGTACCAGAACCTTGACAGGGTAAGGTACGTGCTTGGTGACTGGGTAAGGGATGTGTCTGTCGACTGGGTAAGGAACAGGTACGCCCTTCAATAGGGTTATGGTTTTTTCGACGTTAGTGGAGTGGCCTAGGTCGATTGCTCCGTATCCTAGGGAGTAGCCACCTTCCAAGCCTATTCCTCCTTGGCCAACGTGGTATCCGTTGTCGTAGTCTCCTCCGTAGCCGTAGCCTAAGCTGAGTAATCCTCGCTTGGTTTGTTTCTTGTCTGTGGTTTCTTCTGCTGCTTTCTTCTCCTTCGACCCAGCTGTGACAGCCACTGCCGCAAGGACTAAGAGTGCTAGGGTTAGCTGGAAAAGATGAAGAGATTGTACAGGGTGTTTCTGGAATGAATGTGCATACGATGGGCGTGGTTTGAGGAAACGTTGGTGGTTTTCAATTACTTACTTCCCGCTAATGTCTTTCATTACAAAGATACGTTTAATAATATAATTTGTTTTTTGAGGATACTTTGGTAAATCTAGGTTATGTCATTATTAACCAATGAGTGTTCTCGGTCTACAGGTATCGTATGCACAATTATTCTGAATTCAAATTGAAGGAAAGTTAGTCTGATGGGGAAATTTTAGTCTTATTGTTTTCTGGTCAAGAAAACAATTGAATGCATCCGCTTTCTTTTGTTCATTCAAGGGGTGTTTACAACAACTATCTATACAATTTATATTCGAATGCATCATTGATATAGGAATCTGAAAACTTCGGATTTTGAATACTTCGCCTTTGATATTCAGTTCAATTAGCGTTATTATAAATAAGTTGTGTTGTTATAGGTATGAATTCATATTCAATGTAGGTCAGTTATCATCTTTATTATTCATTATCGATAGTTAACTACTGATGAACTCGTTATATAAGATATGATACCAGTTGAATTTCAACGACTTAATTATTTATTTCATTGAATTAGTGCAATGATAGGTCTGATTAATGGAATTAAGGAGTGCGTTGCTTGAACATCAAATTACGTAACTCGTGGAACATTTATTATTATAAAAAATGAATATACAGGGTGACGGGTTAAGCCTGGCTAGCTTCGTTTCCAGCTGGAATCAGAATTTCTTTTAAAATCCTCTTAGGGAGGGAATATCAAGATTGTTCGTGCAATTAATTTTCATTATGTCCTAATGCTTGTGTTAGTTGTAGAAGAGAGCTAAAATTATTAGAATTAGGTATGGAAAAAATGAATTTCAATAAATTATGATAATCCACGTAAAACTCCCAATCGCGTATGTCGCATACTCTAAATTTCATAAGCTAGAGGGAAGTAGAATGATAATTCTATAATTTCTATCCATGAATATGAATGAAAATTTTGAAGATTGGCGTATGATTACGTTTTTTCAGGTTCGAAAATAATGATTTTCATTTTTTTCGTTCAATTAATCAATCTTTTTGATTCAAATCTTTTGGTTGTTTGCCTAATTCAAAATGGGATGATCAATGAAAGAGTGTAGCCATTCATAAAAAAAATCAACATCACCATCTGCATACATTTTCTATCCCCAATAATTATCATCAACTCGTGATAAGTCTTTTTCAATAACTTGATAGATATTTGATGACATTCACAATCAACCAACCAACAAAATACTATGAATATCTTTTTTCTCCAAATGAAATGACATCAGAAGTGGATTTTTAATTGACATTAAAAGTGGATTTTTAATGACACTTAACAGGCAGAAAAGGTGTACTTTCACTGCCTAGGCAGAAAAAGTTTGTTGCTATGCAACGATCCGAGTATAATTTGAATCAAATTGGTAATCAAAATTGACTTTGGGTGAACAAAAAATGATGGATTATTTGGACTTTGCCTGAAATTGAAAAGAATTTGTTTCACATGGCAGAATTTGTTTCACATGGCAGAAAAGAAGATGTAATGCCTTGGCTGGTTTCCTATCCTCGGCTACGCCTAGGCTATGTAATGCAAGCAGCGACATTAAATTTTGTACTTTTCTGCCTTGTAAAACAAATAACTATCAATGCACAAAACTCAAAATAATATAGAAATTTTGGTTGCTCTCAGAGTATTCACAGAAAAAACATCATATTATTATATATTTGGAAACTGAGTTTTCTGTGATACTTTTCTCAGAAAAATTTGTTTATTACTGGATCATCTTAAATTTTTGGCACATTTTCAAAAAGATTCATGACACTGAAAATCCCTTTTTGAATAGAAGCACTGAACAACCGAAAAAATCTTCATCACTTTGAGTAATCCTTTTCGAACGTCCTAGGGCACAAATATTTTCGCACAGTCACATCGAAGTCACAGAAACTCACCAAGGGCTTCATGATACCTCTCATGTATCGCAGTAGTTCAACAAATGAACTGATTACCCTTCAGATTTCTTCAATGACTTTTATAGTACCGATTGTATACTTTCGCCACTTCTCCTCAGTTCTTGTGCAAAAGAGTCTTCCCCCAAAAAACAGCTTCGTTATTCGTTGCGGACGCCTTGAGAAAGTTATGTTTCAGAAGGTTGATCTGGCCAGTATGGGGTGCGTACAGGGCTGGCTTAGCCCACAGCACATCTTGATCAAACGACTTTTATTTTCAAACAATTGAGAATTGTCACTTTAAGTGGCCTTCATTACCCGAAGAGGATTACGCGAGGATGATTTTTGTATCGTTTGTTCCGTATATCAGAAGATTTTGTTTTCAAATTCTTATCGTGTATGTTCAATAGATGTAATTAAATGTTCGTCGTGGCATATAGCCAGGAAAGTAGTTGTTTTCTGTTGAATAAACCGAGAAAGAATTGATATTTTCATCACATCATGTATTTCTTTATATACAGTGTGGTCATTTAAGTGTGCAACATATGGGAATCTTTTTAATGAATTGCACAACCAAAATACAGAGATAGTGCCAAAAGTTGGTGCATGTTCGGTCATCATTTCAGGTGCAATTAGATCAGTTGCAAGGTGAACAGCATACAGGGTAGGTCAAAAAATATAAAATTTGCTCAAGAGTAAAGTGCTCTTGTTTCAGAAAATTCATCAAAATGTTATCGAGAAAAGTTGTTTACAATTGAATGTTATGCCTAAATACCAAAACATAGCCTCGTAAGACATCTTTTGGTTTTACATTTTTTTTCGTTAATAATTTCCCAATTTGTAATTTTTTTTATATTCACTCTAAACACTATCATAAGGTAATCATGACAAAATCAGTTGAGAATACCTTTGTTCAAATTCAAGCATATTTTTGCAATTAACTTGGATTTTAATTTTTTCAGGGAATCACAAACTTTATGTTTGTTGCAACGATATTCAGCTTAACTTTCAAATTTCCCAACCCATATTTTTAACAAGATAAAACATCATCAGATGAGGATTTAATGTCATCAAACTATCTTAATGTTCACTGTCAACCCTCATTTGTTTCGGTCCTTGGGTAGTACCCGTGATTATTTTGAAAGACATCATGGTTGTCGATTAATTTGTACAGCTTTGAACATTATAGGAATTCCCTTTCGTGCGCTCCAAGCGAAAAAAAAAATACAGAATGTTTACATTAAATGAAAGTTTTTGAATATGCATATTAAAAGTGTTTAAAAAAGTGTTTAAAAGTGTTTTTAACCGCCAGCTTAGTTGCAAAGCAACCCTCGAAAGTCAGAGACTTGTGTGAGTTAAGAAGAAGAGATATTATTAATAATGATTTTCCTTGTTAAAAATATGGTTTGCAAAATTTGAAAGTTGAGCTGAATATAGTTGCAACGAAAAAAATTTGAATATAAGATAATTACACAAATATATTTGAATTTGAACAAAGGTATGATCAACTGATTTTGTTATGATCAAATAATGGAAGTGTGCAAGGTGAATATAAAAAAATAGGTATATAATATATAAAATATAAAAATATATAAAAAAATTACAAATTTGGAAATTATTAACGAAAAAGAATGGGAAAACAGAAGAATGTCTGAGGAGGCCATGTTTTGGTTTTAAGGCTTTTCTTTCAATTGTAAACAATTTTTCTCAATAGCATTTTGCTGAATTTTCTGGAACAAGTGTAGGTACCTGTATTGTATGATGAGTATCAATTTATCATACCTCCAAAAACAAATGTCCAGATGACAGGAGTGTGCCAACAAATCATAATTCTCAGATGTCAGTTCGTTAAAGTTCTACTTATATCATGGGAAGATGAAAATTGTGTATATCATGAAAAACGGCTGAAAGAATAACTGGACTTCAGGTTACTGATGAGGATTTGATATCCGAAATGAGTTTATTCGAGAGATATATAATTCCCATATCACTGATACGAATGATTTATTTTTGGAAGTTCCAAGCTCATCAAGATCAGAGTTTATACAAGTTTACTGCTCATATAAGTACATTTAAATTTTCTTTTCAATACTGAACATATTAGTAAGTTATATTTTTATATCATTATACATCATATTATTTCATCCGATTTGAGAGATGATGTCAATTCTCAATATTCATTCATGCTCTCTTTCTGGGTGTTCAACAGATATAATTCAATGTTCGACGTGGCAAATACCCAGAAAGTGGTTGTTTTCTGTTGAATATTCAGAATGATATTATGTGCAAATCTCCATATGAAGGAGAATGCAAATTCTCTACTTCTGAAGATTATGTTTTCAAATTCTTATCGTGTATGTTCAATAGATGTAATTCAATGTTCGTCGTGGCATATAGCCAGAAAAGTAGTTGTTTTCTGTTGAATAAACCGAGAGAGAATTGATATTTTCATCACATAGAGAATGCGAATTGTCAATATATTTCTCATTATATATATATTCATTTTTTCATGTTCATAATTATATCTGAGAATATTCCTTTTCGAGGTATTCATAATTCGTTTTCTATGGTATTGAAATTTCAGATGGTCCAGAATATTGCTGTTTCCTGTTTGGAAGAGTATCAGAAAATTCAATTTTCCGAAGATAACTAACGTTTTCTTGGTGAATACTCTAAGAGCAACAAAAATGTCTATAATTTCGAGTTATATGCATTCAAAGATGTTCACAGTTTATTTTTAGTTGGTTCATTGTGATGAATTACATTCAACATCTGATGCTGCTATTATGATTATTCAATTCATGCATGAGAATGTGTGAAGATGATAATTTCTCAAAGAATGTTTATATTCTTCGATTGATAATCCTATCAACCAGAAGATTGAAGTCAAGATAAATGATTATTTCAACTTGGAACTGAAAATCATTGTTTTCGAATCTCAGAAAAACGTACCTACCTATACCTAACAAAAATTCGTTTCTGATTTCAATATCCGTATCCAGATGAAAAATGATAGGAACATCCATTTCTCTCTAGCTTATAAGTTATAAAATAGGGTGTGAAACTTGAGAGGTATATATCATTTGTACGAAATATACGAAATTAGCCACGCTGAAAATCTTTCAATATGGGAAACTTCAAATGATTTTACGTAGGTACATATTTTACCATATTCATACCCATTCTGTAAGATTCTACCTGGAAATCATCCAAATTTATTGTAATTTATGTTTTTTGTAATTCTGATAATTTATAGCTCCTGATCATTTTGTCGTTGAATATAATTGGAAATCTTCCTTCGGCAAAGAATTCCAAAACTTCTCTATTCTATAAAAAATCGAATTATGATATCTATAGACTATGATAGTTCCTTAAAACAAAAACTGAAGTGATCAATTTGATCCCTATTAGCCATAGGGGCAACACTATACTGACTATACCGTAGCTAACTATATAACTGTTCAATTCATACAGAAAACCATCAACAAGAAAATCATCTGTCACTTGGCAAATTTGATTGTTACATATACAGGGCGTATCAAAATAACACCAAAAAAATTCAAGAGGTGATATTTTAGGAAATAAAGTCGTTCATATCAACATGTGTCCTAACTTGCTTCGTTTTCGAGATACGGGGTATAGATGAAAAATCTTTTTTCTATTAATTTCTCAATTGTCTTTCCATCAATTTCAATAAAACGTAGTAGTTTTGTTAATAGTAATATGGAGCTTCTCCTAGTGCAATTATATTCGAAATAATATTTTCAGTGGCGTCACAGTGGGTACTTTTCTCGATATTCATGGTGAATGTTTTTGTACAAGACCGGTTTTCCTGAGTTCCATATTTTTATTAGATTGAACTATTGAAATAAACACTTTCAATCCTTTGTGTGTTTTTTGTATCTATAGCTTAGTTTTTGAGGAAACAATAAAAATTCGATTTGACTCCCAATTTTAATGTAGGTGTTCTCAAGACTTCCATTGAGATTACTCAATAACCCCATTTAGAATCATTTTGAAATTTTGGGGCATTCTCAGTCTCCATCCATACTGAATTTTTTGCACCATGAAGCTCATACAGGGGGACTATAAATAAAAACAACTAATACTTCCAACTTCAACATCCTGTATCGCAAAAACGGAGCAAGTTAGAAGACATATTTGCTAGAATATCACAAGGAAATACCCCTTGAATTTTTTCGATGTTATTTAGATACACCCTATATCCCTATACCATCTACAGGCAATCCTACAGGAGATCAAACAAAGATGGGCAAATTTTCTTTTCTAATGAAAATCACGATTTCAGCAAAATGTCACGTGATTTTCGGTTCTTACCCAGGTAGCACATCATATTGGCTGGAACCCGATTTCATATTGGGCCGATATAGATATATCGTACATATGAAACATAATCTAGGTCCAATATGAGAGTATATCGGACATACAATATTGAAATGATAATATTGGTGGAATATTGGTTCAAACTGAGCTGAATATGAATTGTCAGCTACAATATTGGAGCAATATTGGTTGTAAAATTCGTTAACAATGTGTTGAAAAACATATCCATAAATGTTATATAATATTGTTTCACAAATGTCGATACAACAACATCGTATACATATTGTTCCCGACATCAATAACCAATATCACAATTAGAACATTCTCCCCATGTCGATTTTGAAGCGGTTATGCAATATTGTATATTTTAGTTGAACGGCATATTGGTTGGATATTGTTTCAACAATATTTGAAACATCATATTCACCTATATTGATTGATATCATTTCATCTATATCATGCGGAAGATATCGTATTCATTTTATTTCTTACATTTATAACCAATATCGTGATTTCAGTATTCTCCTCATGTCGATTCTGAAGCGGTTGTGCAATATTGTATATTGAAGTTCGATGGCATATTGGTAGAATATTGTTTCAGCAATATTTGGCACATCGAATTCACCTATATTGATTGATATCATTCCAACTATATCACGCGAAAGATATCGTATACATATTGTTTCCAACAATTATAACCAATATCGCAATCTGAACATTCTCCCCATGTCGATTCTGAAGCGGTTATGCAAAATTGTA